GGATTTCAGGCTGGTTGCTTGCTTCATGACTTCAGTTCTCTGATTTAAGAAAGTTACGATTCCTTTGGGTTGTCAGTCTTTTTCTTGTTAGGATGGGGTTTTCCCCAACTCTCTACATCCTAGGCAGAGGCTCGTTATCCATATCTGCATCTTGATGACGTATAAGTGAGACCGTAGCCAGTCCAGATGGGTTGATTTCTTGTCACAAGGAAGACCTGCAAGCTGTTTTGTTGTTTTGTTTTTTAGTAAATTTATGGGTTGGTGACCCATGTGTTCGAGTGGCTGAGATCAACCAGATATTTCTGCAGTTTCTACTGTGTGAAAGTGCTGAGCTCCTGGTGGCGTGTGACAGGCCGGTGGCAACAAAGTGAGACAAGCAAAAGATTAACGTACTGTGAGAGCCCAGGATCCCATAGCAGGGTGGGGTGAGAGGGGATACCTACAGATCCTAAGTGAGAGTTCCGAAGTCAAATAGATTTGTCTTTTCTGAGTTTTTGCCTTTTTCTCTTTGATGTTAAGAGATTTGTATTTGACCAAAGTAAAGCATGTCAGCCTGGTGCAGCCCTGTAGGTATATAGTGTGTGCTGATGTCATTGTGACTTTGCTGGTGCACACTGTCCCTGTGAACCACCAGGGAGGGGCCTTAGGGACCCTTTGATGTTGAATAGGCAAAGCACTGATAGCATTTCCCCCTTACATGTTGCTCCCGGTGTTCCGTCACTGTCATTACTCACAGCCCTGTATGTACGTCCCTTCCCAGTCCTGTTCATCATCTCCTTATCTCTGCTTATCGCTTGTTTGCCAAGCTCTGGGAAATGCCACATCTCCAGGGTGCTGGAGTATAGGTGAGTGCTGTGATGCTGTATAGGGTGGGGCCACTGGCCCTTTGCCTTGGGAAGTTTTCATTACATAGGAATGTCACCGTGGTGGGCTGGGCTCTCTGAGGTATCCAGTGTGTGCGAGGGCCTGCTCTGTGTTCAGCTCCATGCTGAGCAGGCATTCCAGGGCAGGCGGGTGGGGGAGTGACGCAAAAAGTGTTAGACGCAGGATGTAAGAGGAGTCGGGTATGTGGAAGCAGAACTGCTGGCCATGTCACCTGTCAGAGGCAGTCTGATGTCAGGGAACTGCCTGTACTTTGGGTTCCAATCCCAGCTCTTGTTTCCTGGTAACTTCGAGCAAGATCTCTAACCTCCCTGAGCCTGCTTCCCCATGTGAAAAATAAAGTTAATAATGCCTGCTGTGAAGGGCCACTATAAGGATTAAATGAAGCAACATGTATAAACACTGGCACATGGTAGGTAACAAGGGGACAACAGCCATTGCCAGGCACCTTTATATGCTGGCCTGGTGGTGTGTTAAGTGCTGGAATGTCCACCATTGAGAGCAGACAGGAAGCAGAAAAGGATCATGTCCTAGGGAAGCTAAGACGAGGACCAGCCAGTGCGGCCAGAGGAATAGCCCGGGGCAGGCAGGACCCTGGGCCTGTGAGTGAGGCCTGAGGCTGGGGCCCTTCGGCAGGTCACCTGCTTCCTGAGCCTCTGTCTCCTTTGTTGTAAAATGGACACAGCCCATGAGAGCTTGGAGTAGGTGGGAGGACGTGGCAGCCCCTGTGGCCCTCTCCTCCAGAGGCTGCCTCCCTGGCTTGGCACATGGCTGCTGTCCTTAGTGCACCTTTGGAGCTGAGTTCCTGTTGCAAGTCAGTGGTGCTCCCCCTGCCCCCCCCCCCCCAACTCCTCATCATCACTGTGCTTCCAGAGACTCAGCTCAGCACTGTCAGTTTCTGGGCCGTTTTTCAGAAACACTCAGAATTTCCATTCCGTCGTTCCCAGGCAGCAGGCAGCACCGGTCTGGCCACTCCTTGAGGATGCTGGCTGTCACAACAGAGGGCTGCCTGGCTCCCACCCTCCCTCCTGAGGCCTTTCCTCAGGGAGCAATGGCGACTCACCATTCATAAGAAGAGTGTGCATGTCTGGAAGGTGGTGGTGGTGGGCGGTTGTCCTTCGGAAGCATCAGGCCCAGGGCTGGAGCTGCTTCTCAAGAAAGGCCTGCTGGTGATGTCAGAGAGGTGCTTTCACAGCCCAGCCCTCGGAGGGGCAGGCCCAGTCATCACCCCCATCTAGCAGGTGAGGAAGTAGAGACCGAGGGCCACCTCACCAACCATGCTGGAGCTTGGATGTTGGCCAAGGCCTGTCTGAATCCCTCCCCGTCCCCGCTGTACTCTGCTGTGTCTCCTGACATTACTGCCTGGGGCTGGGGGCTGCTGGGGTGAGGTGAGGGCTGCTCAAGGCTTCTGAAACATTTCCTTTCAGGGTGGACTCCTAGGCATTGGGGTCTGAAACTGTGCGCTGGTCATTGTTAACAACAACCAATGTTGTGGTTGAACAGCCTTTGTATCTCTTATTATAATTACATGATACCCTTGAGCAGTAACCATTGGGAACTTTTGAAAAAAAAATGAAGGTTTATTGCTAACAGGACCTAGATATAAAACAGCACATGTGAAGCCACACAGCAAAGATGAGGGTAGAGGGTAGAGAGAGGGAGCGCCTGGGGTTCTACTTTATTGGGATTGAGGGTAGATAGGGATTTTAAGGGCTCACTCTTTACTAGTGAATTTTAAACATAAGTGGGAATTGAAGGAAAAACCACGTGACCATATAGTTAATTATCAAAATCTACCCAGATCTCAGAAACAAAAGAGCTGGGAGGTGGCCCAGCTCTTTATCTGGTCATGGGCTGGCAACGTGCTGGCAACGTGTTGGCAACGTGTTTATTCAAGATAGCCCTCTGCAAGTGGATGCCTCTTTTAAGTGGATGCCTGGGCAGTCAAGAAGTCAAGCACTTGCATTACAAAACAGAAGAAAAACCCCACAACTGTCAGGGCTTACACTTAGGGAAGTGCATTGATTCCTGGAGGACAGGAGCTGGGCCCTGGTAGACTAAGGTCTCACAGAGTGGCTGCAGCACCACCGCAGACACACCAACGATGTGCTTGCGCACATGGCACTGCTCCTGTTTTCAAGAATACTCCACTAGCTTTGGGTCTCACATTCAAATTCTCTTTAACCGCCAGAGCCTGTGTTTTCCCGGGTTCAAATGGACATGCACTGGAAAGTTTGCTATCTGTGAAACTAGGGCACTCTCCAAATAAAGGAAAATAGGCAGTAGAGACCATGTGCCAAACTGCCCTCCTTGGCTGGTTGGGAATCTTCTCCTGGGCTGATTCTTTTCAAGGACTCTGATGCCCGCCCAGGTGAGCATGTCCAGGGCGGAGCATCTTCCTAGGGTTAGGCCACTGTGAGTTCATCCAGGGTGGGTGAACTCAGATGGGCCCACTCAGAGATGCAAGCCGACTGCTGCTGGCAGGTGTGCAGGCATCCTATAGGTGAGAGCCCCAGTCACAGGCATTATACTCTACTGGCTGGATGAGGTAGCCTTGGCTCTGTGGCACATGGGTAGTTGGCAAGTGTTGAGCCCAGTGATGTCCCAGATTCAGAAGGGAGAGGGGTGATAGGTGGAGGCAGGAGACAGGGAGAGGGACACAGACACATGGACAGGCAGTGGGCCCTGTGGTCAGGCTGGTATTGGTTCATCCCACTTGTGTGCTGGCCCTGGATATATAGTGGCTGGAGGAGCAGGGCAGGGGTGGGGCAGGCCCAGATGTGTGGGAACACAGAGCTGCTGCTGACCATGAGTTCAGGGTTGCAGAGCAGGTGGAAGATAGGATGCTGGGACAGAGGAGAAGAAGGGTGGATGAGGGCCTTCTGATAGGGAGGCCCTTGGGAACTGGGCAGGAGGGTGCAGAGCAGGAGGGGAGCTGTGGAAGGAGGTAGGCTGGAGCGGGGTGTCTTGTCAAGGGGCTTTTCTCCCAGAGGCAGTGGGGATCCCTGGAGGACTGGCAAGGCCAGGGAGTGACGTGGTAACCTTTGGAATGTCTGTCTGTGAGGTCGTGGTTTAAAACACTAAGCCCCAAGTGTGGCTGCCTTTAAGGGTAACCGGGACTTTGGGGCCGGCCTAGAATGTGAGCCTCACCAAGCACGTCATTTGTACAGGGAGCAAGTCCACAGAGGAATTGGAGGCTCCAAGACCAAAACTGAGACGTCTGCCAACTGTGTCCTTGGGAACTGGGTGGCTCTGGGAACCCACCTTGCTGAACACATGCACAGTGTTCAGGTTAGGAGAAGGTTAGGAGAAGCATTCATCTATATGTAGAATGGTGCCTGAATTGGGGGGGGAGGCGTGTCACATGTTAGACTGAGGTGAATCCCCTTAGGAAATCACTTGTGCTCAGTGGTTGTGGATGAGTGTTTTGGGGGCATGTGGCAGAGGTTAGGCTGGCTTTGGCATTTGAGAGCTGAAACACCTTAGGCAGCAACACTGATCCCTCACATTCTGGAATGCAGCAGCAGCCCAGGGTGCCTGACCCGTGGATTCTGACTCCCACCAGCCATCTGGATGTTCACATACAATGCTGGTTTTCCCAGGGATTGGGAAATCCTGCACTAGGGCAGGGTTGAACGTTCCCCCCAGTTCTAGGCCATCCCCATGCTGGGGGTGGGGAATTGGCATTGAGCTCACCAGGAAAGGGGGTGACTTCAGAGCCAACCTGGGCTTCAGGGTCTCCAGACTCTCAGAGGCCTACCAGAGGGTGCAGGCTGCATGTAGAGCCCGCAGCTGGCCTGGCCTTGGCCTCCCGGATGGCCTCCAGGAGCCAGCGGAGGGCACTCACCCACCCGCCTGTACCTCCCTCCCAGGCTCCTCCAGCCCTTACTGCCAAGTGCTCTGGTTGCACTCCTCACCCGTGGCCTCTGTCCTGGCAGGGCGTGCATGGCCCAGAGGTGGGAGTACTGCCCCACCGTGTTTCTCCCCAGTCTTTGGGACTTATTTTCTCCAGTTTGCTGGTGGTTTTCCACTTCATCCTTTGGAGGGACCGTTCTCTCTGTGTTTCGTTAAGCACTGAATGAGGACTGAAGGACTCCCTTTCTTTTCATTGTCTTTAGCCAGAAGTGGATTTCCCCGTCCCTCCAGGTGGAGGCAGGAGTCAGGAGTTGGTGCAGAGCCAGCCCCAGGAGCCCATCAGCATGCCCCAGACGCTGACCAGCACGCTGGAGCACATCGTGGGCCAGCTGGACGTCCTCACCCAGGTAAGCCATGACGTGTGTTTATCCCACTTGGCCTGGCATCTGGACCATTTGAAGGTGGGCCGCAGGTGCTATATTTTTAAAAAACATAATCATAATGGACCTACTTTCCAGCCCAAATTAATGAAATTGCAGTGCCTACACTGAGATCCTGGTTCTCGGGGCCATCTGAGCCTGGCCAAGCCACTGGTCCCCAAAATCACCAGTGCTGGATCCTGCAGGGTGTCCCCTCCCAGGGCTGGCCTGGGCCACAGCAGAGCTTTGAAAGAAACACTGTCCATTCATCCCACTCATTGCAGGGTGGGCACTCCAGGGACATGTCAGGGAACTGTGAGCAGTGAGTCAATGCATCTGGGAGTCCAGGCTCTGGGTTTGAGAGTTTGAGCTGGCACTGCTCTTATCCTCCATGCAACCTTGGTGAAATCCCTTCAGCTCTCTAAGCCCTGGTGCGCTCTTCTGTGATGTGCAGTGGTCATGCAGTGGTCATGGACTCCATGTCCTGTTTGTGGTCAGGATTAAAGGAGATGAATCTTTGGGAAGTATTTGGCCTACTCCTGGCTCTAGGTAGGTGCTCAGTAAATGGTAGCTGTGTTGCTGTGAGCAGTGTCATCAGCAAGATAGGCGTGGACTCCAGCCTCTGAAGCATATGTACATTTGGCAGTTTGCAATACAGAATCACAGTGCAACAGTTTTCCTAAGAGCAGAATGCCCTGGCAAGAGGGGGCAGCCAGTACCATGGGCATGAGAGTGGCCCTGGCAGAGGGAGCAGCCTGCCTGCAGGACTGGGGGCCACTGGCACATCTAGGCAATGAGCAAGGCCCAGCATGGCTGGTATGGGGCATGTGGGGGAGCGGGGGGCAGGCCAGGATGTAAAGGGTATCAGGCCCCTTCCACACCTGGGCTGTGGGTGTAGACCACCTTCTTTTGTGACAGCTCATGGGTAGACCAAGGGTATGAGAGGACTGCAAAGGACCCTTGAGTCTCTTACAGAGCTGAAATGGCATGGCATCATTTCTCTGTCTCTGGATCTGGAGCCAAGTGAGCAAAGCTCCTCTGCGTCACGTCACATGGTCCACGGAGTGTCACAGCATCCCAGCTGGTACTGCACACCTTGGGCCCAGGGAAGAAAGGACATTTGAAGGGAAAGGTCAGACATCGGTGGCTGGGGATGGGAGGGGGAGGGGTACAGGACAACTGCAGGGACATCAGACATTTCCGAAAGCCTGTTAACCCTTGAGAAGATGGCATGTGCTAAGAGAAGTAGGAGCAACGTGCACATCCCCCACCTCAGACGCATCAGAAACTGCCGAGCCTGCCTCATGTTCTTCACAGCCTTGTCAAGTGAGAGATCAGGGGAGGTGGAATCAATTAGAACTTTATAGGATAAAATTGGAAATTAAGTCTGAGAAGATAGTTAAAAATAGCTTCATTGGATCGCTTCATTGGATCACTTCATTGGAGTATAGCACTAAAAGCGTTTCCTGTCACTGTGTTTCAGGGATGCACACTGGAGGTTTTGTTATGTGTTAGCAGTTCTGAATGTGATAGTAACTTTGTAGAAAACTGGCATCACAGAGAATAATGAAGGCTCTCTTGTGGCCTGGGCCTCTGGCCCTGGGTCTCAATGGCTCTTTGGGCACCCTTGTCCTACCTCACACCGTCCAGCCCCTTTGCAGATCCAAACAGCACTCCACCCCCGACCAGGTGCCAGTCACCTGCTCTGCCAAACAGCGTGCATTCCTGAATGTTCCTGACGGACTTGACATATCCTAAGGAGGAATCTTGGTTTCCACAGATGAAGCCCCAGTTGAGGCCTCAGCCCATTTCCAGCGCAGTAGAAGTACATTTGTGCTAACCAGCATGGTGTCCTTAAGCTTGGTTCCTGGTTGTTTTCCAGACCTACCTCCTCTTCTGGATTTGGGGCTCTAGCTGAGGTGTCCAAGCCACAGCCAGAGCTATGCCCTGTGGGCTTGGGCATTCACTCCTCTTGGAACCAGCTTGGCTGTGGGCAGCCCCCTCTCTGGAGGCTCCTCAGAGGCCTAAGAGCCAGGTGACCTGCTGTGTATAGCTGCCCACGTAGGTTGCTTAGCCGGGCTCTGAGCCTCTTTGGTCTGTGGGTATTGGCCTTACACGCTGCCCCCTCAGTGAGTGCTTCTCACCATCCTGATGTGCCTTTGTGCTCTGGAGGGGTGGAGGTGTCTCAGCTACCCTAACATGGACTCCTGCCTCAGAGTCGTCTGAATCATGCTGTTCTCTGTCTCACCCCCCTCACTGCCCCTTCCCTCCCCCTCAAGGAAGTCTACTTCAAAGAGGCTTCTCAGGGGGAAGCTGCCTTCCGGGGCCTTCAGTCCTCCATCCCGTAGAACATCCTCCAAGGAAGAACTGTGGGGGCTGTAGTGGCTGGGGATGTTTATTGAGTGAGTCACAAAGCAGCCCCTGGGTGACATGAGCAGGATACCCCGTTGTAGAAACTCACAGTTCTCAGAGCCTGTCTTCCTGCTCCACAGGCTGGTGTGACCCAGTGATTGAGTCCTCCTCTCTGGATGTTCATGGTCCATCTGTGCCAGTCTGAAGGACCAGTCTTGGTCCTTTTCAGTGGCATTTCTATGCAAAGCAAAGGCCCGGAGGTCGGTCAGCTGAGTGCACGCCCATGAAGAGGGATGACTCAGCTTGCTTGGGCAAGGTGCTTAATCTCTGGGCCTCAGTTTCCAAATCTGGAGCATAGTGAGTAGCCACCTCACAGGACTCATGTGAGGATTAGATGTGTTAGCTTGTGTGAAGCTCTTTGAACAGTGCCTAGCAGTGCCATGTGCCGCCCCTGCCATTGTTCAGGCCCTGGCAGGGGGGGCAGGGGCAGGGGTCACAGCGGCACCAGAAACAGCCTCCCCAGTCCCCCACTGTCTCCCTGCCCAGAAGAGCCATGCCTCCGCCCTCACAGTGGGGGTGGCAAGTTCCCTACATTGCCTGAGCCCTCTCTGTGTCTGGGGCCAGCAAGCTGGCAGCATGGCTTCTCTCCCAGGCTGATAGACCCATCACTCTGGGGGAGCAAACGCTCCTTGGGCCATGTGCAGCATCTGAAATCCAGCCCTTTGACTCCCCAGTTGGGGTTGTACCGTTTTATTTTTTTCAGAGATGCCTTTTCTATAAAGTGCATACATTGTTTTTCAAAAGTGTGCCCATTCGGGGAGATAACCTTGGAATGCGTTGCAAGGTTCACAGGCCTTTATCCAGCTCCCAAGTGGGTGTGCTCTTTGGACTGGCCTGTCCTGGCAGGTCTCCCTATGGTCTTGTTTTAGATGGGAAGTCCACAGAGTGAGGATCACGTCCTCATTGTCATCTTCCTCCTCCCACTGTTTATCTGAGACCTGCATCTTTCCAAGGGCCTTCCTTCATGGCCCTCATCTCATCCTTCCACCTGGTGCCCAAGAGCTAGCATGGCAGGTGCAGACAGGGTGTGAGTAATGGCCTTCTGGGCCTGGACCAGCCCAAGGGGCCAATCAGCCTGGGACTTCTCCAGGATCCTGGGTGATCCTGAGCTCAACCCACTATAAGCCAGGGCTCCCCAGCTTCACTTGCTAGACAGTTTTGGTGTAGTCAGGGATGACTTCACCGAGGAGTCCACCTGCAAGCCAAACTTGATCTCTCTGAAAGTTAAGACTAGATACTCTTGCTCTGTGATCGCAGAGTCTGGTAGCCCTTAGGTCCCTGGCCAGAGCGTACACTCCCTTGCCCTGGCCCTTCTTTGTGTAGGAGACACCTTCTTTAATCCTGTGAGGTTTCTGTGTGGGGCTTCACTGATTGTTCCACTGCTTTCCTTTGGACCTTGATCCCAGCTGGGTGCCATGTTCCGAACAGCTGGAGTCTGTCTGGCCTTATATATCCCTACCAGCCATGGGGAGCAGTGTGAACCACCTGCCCATTAGCTTGGACACACCTGCCCTCCTGGATTTGAGGACCAACCCCATCATTCATCACCTGGGTGACTTTGGGCATGTGACATTGTTCCCAGAGCCTTAGTTTCCTCCCTTGGAAAGTGGGGACAGTCCAGCCAGCTTATGTCCTCTGAGCAGTATTGTGAAGCTCCTGGTTAACTGGATGTGCTAGACCGGCACCAGCTCTTCCGTGAAGCACAGCACGAAGTTGATGTGTTCCCAGTGAAGTATGGGAAAGTACCAGGGTGGCCAGGTAACACAGGAGTGTCAGGAGTGGACATTCCACAGGCCTCTACAGCTGCTGGACTTGAGTCCCAGGAGTGCCCTTGAGGTGCCAGTGAGACTCTAGTGGTCTGGCTAGGCAGTAGGATGAGAGGTAGAGAAAGAAGAGGTCTTTCCCCAGGTCTGGGATGGGGGAGCCCAGGAGGTGATGGGGGACTGGAGTGTACAGGGGCTATTGAAAAAGGGATGGAAAAAAAAAAAAAAGAAAATCAGGGATGGGTCATGGGGCCCATTAGATGGGAGCCTTGAATCTGGACCCAGGCATCAGGCCAAGATTGAAGCTCTTCAAAGACATATACTTATCGTATAGCTATTCTTTGAATACATAGATAATAGACATAAAGCTATTCTTTTTTTTTTTTCAAAGATTTTATTTATTTATTCATGAGAGACACAGAGAGAGAGAGGCAGAGACACAGGCAGAAGGAGAAGCAGGCTCCATGCAGGGAGCCCGATGTGGGACTCAATCCGGGTCTCCAGGATCCCACCCTGGGCGGAAGGCGGCACTAAATCGCAGAGCCACACGGGCTGCCCCTATAGCTATTCTTTGAATCTAGTTATCATAATGGTTTTTGGGGGAAATGTGTTTGCTAACAGTGGAGTTCAGATTTTTCTTTTTTTCATTTTTTAAAAGATTTTATTTATTTGAGAGAAACCACAAAAACAGGGGGAAGGGCAGAGGGGGAGGGAGGAGCAGGCTCCCCGCAGAGCTCAATCCCAGGACCCTGAGATCATGACCTGAGCCCAAGGCAGATGCTTAACTGACTGAGCCACCCAGGCGCCTTGAGT